GATTGTAATGACGCATTTAATTATTTAAAAGAGGCCTTAATGAGCCCAAAACTCTTACAATACCCAGATTTCAACAAAGAATTTTGTATAACAACAGATGCTAGCAAATACGCTTGCGGAGCAGTACTTATGCAGGAACATGGGGGCCGCGCACCTACCAATTGCATATGCGTCTCGATCATTCACGAAAGGAGAATCCAACAAGTCAACCACTGAGCAAGAATTAGCAGCCATCCATTGGGCCATAAAATATTTCAGACCATACGTTTATGGGAGACATTTCATAGTAAAAACAGACCATCGACCATTAATTTATTTATTTTCAATGAAAGACCCTAGTTCAAAATTAACAAGAATGAGGCTAGATTTAGAAATATACGATTTTACTGCGGAATACCTCAAGGGGAAAAATAATTGTGTGGCGGACGCGCTGTCCAGGATCACAATAAATGACCTAAAGTCAATAAACAGACAGGTAATGAAAATTACAACTAGGTCAGAAACTCGTAAAAACCAGGATCAGAAATCAGAAAAGGAACCCTTGCAGAAGCAAGAGCTTCAAGAGCCCAGAGTCTACGACGTTGTCAATAACAATGACATCAGGAAATATGTGAAACTTAAATTCGTCAAACATAAGTGTTTGTTTAAACGAGGAAAACGAATAATTTCACAATTTGAAATTGATGATTTGTACTCTAATGGGAAAATTGATTTAAAACAATTTTTCCAAAGGCTTGAAATACAGGCCGGAGTGCAAAACATAAAACAATTCCAAATGGCACCAAGCGCACTGATTCTAAAGTCAGTATTACTACGAGAATTTAAAGAAATGGGCAACCGTACATTACAAAAAGTACAGATAGCGCTACGTTCTAAGGTGACCATAGTAGACAAAAACAATGAAAAAAGTATAAGAGAAATCTTAAAAAAATTTCATGACGACCCAATCGAGGGAGGTCATTCAGGAATAACAAGAACATTATTAAAAATAAGGCGACATTACTATTGGCCTAACATGACAAAAGTAGTCACCAAATACGTAAAAACATGTCAGACCTGTCAAAAATCTAAGACAATCACTCATACAAAAACACCAATGACCATTACCGAGACACCTACATCAGCTTTTGACACAGTATTAATTGATACTATTGGCCCATTACCGCGCTCGGAGGAGGGAAACGAATACGCAGTCACAATTATTTGTGATTTAACTAAATACTTAGTAACAGTACCGATTCCGAATAAAAGCGCAACTGCCGTTGCAAAAGCAATTTTTGAAAACTTTATACTCGTTTACGGCCCAATGAAGGTTATTCTAACAGACATGGGCACAGAGTATAAAAACAGTATAATAAGAGACTTATGCAAATATATGAAAATTGACAACATTTCATCGACTGCACACCACCATCAAACCTTAGGGACTATTGAACGCAGTCACCAAACGTTTAACGAATATGTCCGTTCATATATTTCAAGTGACAAAAGTGATTGGGACATATGGTTGAAATATTTCACCTATTGTTTCAACACTACACCATCAGTCACGCATAATTATTGCCCATTCGAATTAGTGTTTGGGAGACCTGCTCGAAAATTTATAGATATTTCTAAAATAAATCAAATAGATCCTATATATAACATAAATGATTATGCTAAGGAAATTAAGTTTAGGTTAGAATCAGCATACAAACGGGCAAGAACCATGCTAGAAAGGGAAAAATAAAAACGAAAAACGCTATACGACAAAGACGTAAATAACTTCGACCTAAAAATCGGAGACCAGGTCTTACTCAAGAACGAAACCGGTCACAAATTAGATCGGAATTATTTAGGACCATTTAAGGTAATAGGGATAGACGATAGGAATAATGTTAAAATCATAGACAGTAAGAAAAAACAACAGACAGTAAGCAAAGATAGATTAAAACCATTTTTCGAATAATACAACATAATTAAAGAAATATATATGTATATGTAAGAACATACAAAGTTTTTCTATATCCTTTAATTAATTCTTAATTCCTTTTAACTTTCAATTATTTTAACATTAAAAAAAAAAAAATTTTTTTGAAAATTAAAAATAAGACCCACATACAAACAATTCAACACCCAACATATATGCATCATCATATCATTACATACATTTGCATTCAATTTTATTTCTTTTTAATTTTATATTCATTCTTCAAAAAAAAAAAAAAAAAAAAAAAAACTATTTTAGAATGACTTCATAAATATACGTCATTCATTTTAACGGGGGAGGTGTAGCGAGCGGAGTATATAATTTTAATTCTATTTTAATTACATAAATATATCCGTTGTATGGGCACATGCAAATGATTTCAATTCATATTTTAATTACATAAATACATACATTGTATATGCCCATACAAACTAACACATTGCTTCTCAAGTGTCCGGCCAGCGAGCCGGCCCTAAAATGCTGACCATGCATTCCCACGGAGACGACTGGCCTTCACACCAACTAACACTTAAAGCCAGCCGTCTCGTGGTATATATAAACATAGGGAAAATATGCCAATGCAAGTATATACTCCTATCGCTGCTTACTTCAGTTTTTAGCCTTTAAGAATATATGTTTGAGAATAAAGTTCAGTTCAGAATACCACTCACAACGGCACAGTGTTATAATTTGTATCGATCTTACAATCTAATTGTACAAACGCGAAGGAATAGGCAGGCGATCAGCGAGTACCAAATCGAACTATTATGAAGCTTGCCGTGGACAAAGGCCAGGAAGCGATAAGCAAAAGAGTGCAAAAGTAGTTAGAAATGACAACTAGAACAGTGTTGCCGCGCAGGGCAAATAGCAAAACAAAGGCAAACATCAAGAAATGAATTTACGTTAAGATTTGAAATTAGTGATTGGATTTAGGCTGCGGCATGACCGAACATAAGTATTCATTTGAAATTCATCTTTTTGTTCCTAAATAAAAATATTTGTATTCTTCAAAATGATTTCTATAGAATCAAATAAATATATTCCTTTTATCGTCAATTTTTTGAAAAATAGAAACAATTTGAAGAAAATAAAAATTTAATAACATTGATGTTTCATTTCCGCAATATTGGGAAGTATATTGACGCATATTAACGAACTTGTATAGCTTAAAGCAATAATTCGTAATTAAGTATAGTAAAATTTTATTAAAATTCAAGTAGATATACCGACCGATTGATGTGATATAGTTGCATACATGTGATATTGTTGTGAGTCTGAATAATACATAAATTTTGATCCATAATATTTTTTTAACCCGAAAACTTCAGGCTGACGAGTCACGGGAAAATAAAAGAACAGCTTTCTCTGGAGAAGAAAAGTTTCGAACCAACGTTTACTATCCAATTTTAGATACTTTAAGTGTACAATTGACAGGACGTTAAAGTGTTTATCATAATCTTTATGAAAACAACTAATCTTATGAAAAAAGCCGTTCGCTATCCGCAACCTGCGAACCGCCTGGTGGCCCCTGCTAAGCCCCCTTTTGAACATCTCATTAGTTCTCGAGGAACAGGCCCGTTTGAATTTAAAAGAATTCAATTTCCGAAACGCCTTGCATTTGCCATGACCATCAACAAATCACAAGGCCAATCTTTAAAAGTTTGTGGTTTAAATCTAGAACATTCATGTTTTTCCCATGGTCAATTATACGTGGCATGTTCACGGGTTGGAAGACCATCTGCGTTGTTTGTTTTTGCGCCAAAAAACGTCGTGTATCACAAGGTGCTTAAGTGAAGAGCAACCTATGTACTAAAATACAGAAATAAAAATGAATAATTAATGTTGGTATATAATTTTTTTGTAAATTTTTTCAAATAAAAAAAAACAATCTGCCTATTTATTGCCATTAAGGCGGAACAAGGTTCCGCCACCAGATGGCGACAGTTTTATGTAAAGTTTCGTTTGGTGATTAAAATATAAAGAAACATTTTATTTCATTTCACAACAGTAATGAATTCATTTTGCTTACAAAAATCAAGTGTTATTCAGTTGAACTTCCCTAAGTAAATTAATGTGAATACAAAGTAAATACTGAATCGAAGCGTTATACTTGTCCGCAAATTATCTGTTTCCTTAAAGTGCTCTTTAATCTGACGTTAACACAAACAATGATTTTCTAAATTTATCCCGCAAACACTAAGCGATTGGCCGTGCGACTTGTTAATTGTCATTGCGAACTGGAAACTGCCATCGTTTAAAGTCAAACGGATGATCAGTCGGAATCATTGATATTTAAGGAATATAAATATTTTTTACCTGCGTTTTTTCCGTTAATGATGGTTGCCTCAATCAAATTCGGCATAAGTCTTTTTACCGGAAGCCCTATCCTGTTAACTTTTGGAAATTAGCTGTAACAATTAGACCATTTCGATGCATATCCGCGACTGTATCGTATGTAGAAAAATCAAATTTTACAGGAGAAGCTTTTTCTTTATTTTTGTATTTCGGTATTTTTGTGCGATTACAGTATTTCCATGCAAATTTGTATAGACATACGATAATTTCGCGCGCACATTGTAACATACGTGTAGATCCAAAAAGGGGTCTACTGCTAATGTGGCCCTGTGCCACAAGCAACTTCAGAGCATATATCAATAATATAATTGAAGGCCAACTTGCATAAGCGGACGGGACAGACAATGTAATAATAAGTGCGTGTGCTTCGTTTCAGTTCTTTTCTCAAGTGATCGTTATAATTTTCCATATTTGTTCTTAAGCTAAGCGCTGGCATAACTGCGCGTGTATATGTAAGCATGCAAATCGTAGATAACAATAGATAAATTTTGATATGCAAGAGAGATTCAAGTGAGAGCGACTATTTAAGAGCGTAATGTTAGCTTAAGAGTAGTACTTCAATTCGAGCGTAACATAAGAGTATTGGCTTTGGCTATAATTACATATAAATATATATCTAATTAGTAGGACTTCATGAAATGACTTAACATCGGCCGCATTGAACGACTGCAAGGCTTCAAAATTCATTCACAGGCAAAGGAGCTAATCGACGTATTGATCGCTTAAAAACGCCAGATTTAGTTCTGACGACCGCCACGCGAACTTTTCCATCCTCGCCTTTGATGGCCTCCTCGATGACTCCCATTAGCCACTGTTGAGGCGGACTGTTGTCCTCGTGGACCACGACGATGGTTCCGATTTGTATATTGTGGCTCTCGCTTAGCCACTTCTGTCGTTGTTGCAGGCTCAGGACGTAGTCTTTTTGCCAGTCTACCCAAAACCGTTGCTTGACGGCGGATATCAGTTGCCATCTCTTCAAGTAGCTCAGTTTGTCGTCTGTTACTGGCTGACTTGACACGAATGGCAGCGCAACGAGCGTTGTTCCGACCAGCAGATGAGCTGGGGTTACTGCTTCGCCGTCGTTTGGGTTGGAGCTGTCCACGACGATGGGCCTCGAATTGAGAATGGCTTCGACTTCTACCAAGACGGTGTTCAACTCGTCCTGTCGGAGCACTGCGCTGCCCACGGCCTTGACCATTAATCCCTTTGCTGATTTCACGGCCGCCTCCCATAGGCCGCCAAAATGGGGCGCTCGGGGCGGGATGAACGAGAAGGTGATCCCACGCGTGGCTGCGAACTCCGTTATGGCATCCTGGTTGGCAATGAAATGGTCCCTGAACTCCTGCAGCATTCGGGAAGCACCGACAAAATTGGTGGCATTGTCGCAGAAAATTTTCTGGACACGTCCACGCCGGCCAACAAACCTAGACAAACACATAATAAATGATTTAGATTTGAGGTCTGAAACAAGTTCTATGTGAACAGCTTTAGAGGAAAAACAAACAAATATGGCAATATACATCTTTACCGCTGACTTCCCTCTAATTCCTAAGGTTACGAAAATTGGACCACAAAAGTACACTCCACTGACTTCGAACGGCCTATTGCCGTGAAGACGATCAGCAGGTAAATTTCCCATTATTTGGGTTGCCAAGACTGGCTTATAGCGAAAACAATGTACACACTGCCGTACAATGCTATTACACGCTTGACGAGCGTTCACCAACCAAATTTTCTGCCGAAGAATAGCCACCAAAGCACGTGGACCTGCATGACAATTTGAACGATGCAAATATTGTAGATATATTTTAACGAAACGGCTATCTTTTGGTATGAGCAACGGGAACTTAGCATTGTGTGGAACAGGAGCTTTCAACAAACGGCCGCCGACTCTAAGCAGCCACCACACATGCTTGCCATCTTGATGAGGATACAAGAATGGATTTAGTTTCTGAAAACTTGGTTGTAACGTCAAAGATTTATTTAGCCTCGCAATTTCATTTGCGAACTCGATTCGCTGCAATGCAGACACCACTGCTAAAAACGCTGAACTCAGTTCTTCCGCTGATGGCACGAGTGAAGTCTGTTTGTGCGATTTTCCATTGATAAATCGGAGCATATATGATATGATGCGCAGAATTTTCAAATATGACGAAGATTTGTCAACGAGGTTCAAAAAAGGATTATCCAGTGCATCGGCCGTGATCAAGACTGTGGCATCCTTCCGCATCTCTAGCACAGAGAGATCGTTGGGGGGTTCTAGGTGGTAGTTTACTGGCCAAGAGGTTTTATTTTCCTGTAAGAAGTTTGGGCCCGTAAACCAGATTGATTCCCTGAGCTCACTAGTTGAGCAACCACGTGAAAGGATGTCCGCTGGATTCGCGTTGGTAGGCACATGACGCCAGACAGCTTGTGAAGTCAATTCTTGAATTTCTGCTACACGATTCGCAACAAATGTATTTAGGTATAATGGGTGCTTCTTGATCCAATACAGCACCACCTCAGAGTACGACCACAAAAAAACGTCGTCCACTGGTGAGTTCAACAGATCCCTGATTTCACTCCATAGCTTCGCCAGTAAGTGAGCAGCGCATAATTCCAACCGAGGCACAGACTTGGTTTTGAGAGGTGCCACTCTCGACTTGGCTGTGAGCAATCGTGTAAACGTTCCCTTCCGATGCTCCATTCTGACATAAATGCAGCAGCCGTATGCTCTCTTTGACGCATCGGTGAATCCGTGAATTTGGTATTTAATATTTTTTCTAATTCCGATATGTCGAGGTATGTTAAGCGAGCCTAGAGTCGAGAAGCAATTAGTCACCGAATTTAATTGCTCAATTAGATCTGTGGGCAATGCTTCATCCCAATCTAACTTATGCAGCCAGATTTCTTGAATGAGAATTTTTGCACGAGTAACAATTGGACACAATAATCCAAGTGGGTCATACAAACGTGCTACAAACGATAGAATAGACCTCTTAGTCGGCACAAAATCGAGTGAAAGATGGTCTGCGGAGTATTTGAACACATCACTTCTGGGATTCCAAATCAAACCCAAAGTTTTGGTGTCTTCTTGCGACCCAATTGTAATGGACGCATCAGAAACTTGGAATTGTTGGCAGTTTGAAGACCATTTGGCTAAACCAAATCCAAATGGTTTTAATACAGAGTCCAACTCCTGCTGCAATAGCCCTAATTCCTCTGGCGTTTCTGCTCCCGCTAATAAATCATCGACATAAAAATCATTCGCAAGTGATTTCGATGCTAATTTATGCGATGTTGCGTGTATTTCACTCAAATATTTCAGACACCGGATAGCCAAAAAAGGTGCTGACGCAGTGCCGTATGTAACCGTGTTCAATTGATATATTTGTAATTGATCTTTCGGGTTTTCTCTCCAGAGGATTAATTGAAAACATCTCTGGGTCTCGTCAATTTCCACTTGACGGTACATCTTAGTGATGTCTGCAGTAATTGCGTAAGGATTCAATCGAAAACGAAGCAAAGTTGCGTAGAGAGATGGTTGTATCGTTGGACCAACCATAAGCGTGTCATTAAGCGACATTTGTGATGACGTTTTGCTTGACGCATCGAAGACGACTCGAAACTTTGTTGAAGAGCTTTGCGGTCTGAGCACACACTGGTATGGGATAAAATAATGTGGCTCACTCGGGACTGTGTTACTGATTGCACTCATATGACCAAGAGAAATGTATTCTTTCATAAAAGAAATATACATGTCTCGGACTTCCGCTTGTTTTTCCATTCGCCTCTCCAGGCCAAGAAATCGCCTCTTAGCTGTCTCAAAGGACGAGCCAGGACAAGTCGGACTAGATTTAAACGGCAATTTAACACTTAGCCTGCCCGAAGGTAATCTGTTCACAGATTCAGTGAACGATTGCTCGCAAAGTAGCTGTTCTGGGGTATATAAATTTGGATTCGCAGTATTTGGAGCTTGCTCCAACTCCCAGAACTTTTTAACAATTGAGTGTAACGACGATTCACCGGATGTACTTAATAACGTCGTTGAGCAAGCATTTGCATCTGGTGGGGCTTTACAACGACCAGACACGATCCAACCAAAAACTGTTTCACGTAAAGTTAAAGACTCTTGTTTACACCTCAGACGCCCATCTTTAAGAAGATCGAAGAAAGCGTCTGCCCCAAGCAGCAAGTCTACGCGTTGCGGCTTATGAAAAAGGGGGTCAGCGAGATCAATATGACTTGGAATGTCAACATTTTCTACAAGCCTTTCGGGTTGATAGGACGTGATAGATTTTAATATACTTAATTCAGTCATCGTTTCAAAGGAATTCAAACGAGAGGCAATATCAGTTTGAACTGCATGCCGAATGGCAGATTTTGTCTTGCCTATGCCTACTAATTTTATATCTTTGCGCGATTTGGGTAATTTCAAAATATTGGCCAGGTTTTCGGTAATAAAATTGACCTGGGACCCAGAGTCTAAGAGTGCTCTGGCCATATGGTAAGATCCCAACTGATCTTTTATTTTTACAACTGCGGTAGCTAATACGACTTGGTCAGAATCACTAGCAGCGAGATTGGCGGACGACACTTGACTAGATGTCGAAGTTTGTGCTGGTGGAGCTTGAGATTCTGTTGCATACCTATGCAGTAAAGTATGATGCGGCTTTGAACAGACTCTGCAAGTGCTCGACTTGCAGGTAGTAACTGTGTGGCCTTTTCGTAGGCAATTTATACACAGGGGGAACGATTTTACAAACTTAAAACGATTATTGCATGGGATAGCAGCAAAGGAGGAACAAGATTGAATGAAGTGATCCTCCGATTTGCAAAACGAGCATTTTGGATTATGCTGTTCATTTGGCTTAGCCACTGTTAGCGACGTTTTTCCTCCCTTTTTTCCACCATTGCGCTCATATTTTTGAGCTCGAGAAGCTCCCCCACCTGAAGAATTTTCTTCAGCAGAGAGGTGCTGGTACCTTTTATTAAGGGCCTTTTCGTAATCATCCCAAAGTGGCAGTTTTGTATAATCTAAATTCTCCTCCCATTTTGACCTAGTCGTAGAATCCACCTTGCCCATAACTAAGTGTATTAGCATAGCGTTCGAGATCTGTTTGTCATTTCCTAAAGACAACAACGACTCATACACCGCTCTTACTGTGTCTATCAACGAACGCAGTGAAGACGCAGATGCTCCATGCATTTTTGGAAGGTCGAATAACTTTGAAATACTCTCAAACACAATCAAGCAACTGTTATCGTAAACGTTTTTTAAGGCAGCTAATGCTTTTGGGTAATTAGCATCGGTTACTTGATACGATTTCACCGTGCCTAAAGCCTCTTTCTCTAAGCAAGACAACAAATAGTTCAATTTTTCAACATTTGAAAGAGAAAGGTCATTTTCAACGAGGTTTTCGAACAGTCCTATAAAATTCTTATATTCCGAATACTCCCCACCAAACCTTGGCAGTTTCATATGGGGCAGTTTTTTGCTCTGAGCAGGAGTTGACCCTATCATGGTTGAATTCGCATGATTGTCTTTAATAACGTGTTGACTAGTGCCTTTGCTTTTAAGCAGAGCCTTTGTAGTTGCACACAGGTCTTCTAGATCAGCTCGAGAAACAAGCTCGGTATTAATGTCATCCAAATCCTGTTGAATATTAAAGGCTTTTCCTACATATCGATGCAGTATTTCCAAGCGGCAATCAATTTCAATTGGGTCGACGTACCCTGAGTAATTTTTAACTGTAGTTTTAATACGCTCAATATCAGCAACAACATTTTTGTATTGATCTAGCAATGTATCAAGGCGACCCAAAGTGGTTTCCCCTAGCGATTTGTTTTGACCTTTTCCTTTTTTACCCGTCATAATTGTACAACTCTGCTCCAATAGCAGCCAACAATTATACAAACGAATTTAAATGTAAAAAAAAACAAACAAAAAAGGAATTGATGCAACAACAAGTGTGGTCAAATGCTAGTAAGCGATGCACACGCCTTATGCCAATTTATGTATGTGTGTGTGACGAGATGTTAAAATTTAAACTCAAATGGCCGAATACCACTAAGCAGTACACGGACTATATATGTATGTGTGTATGGCGAGATGTTAGAATTTAAACTAAAGCGGCTGAATACCACTAAGTAATACGGACTATATATGTGTGTGTGTATGGCGAGATGTTAAAATTTCAACTAAAGCGGCTGAATACCACTAAGTAATACGCGCAATATATATGTATGTATGTGTGTCGAGATGTTTAAATATTTAACAAAAAGTGGCCGAATACCACTAAGCAGTACACGCACTGTATATGTATGTATATATGTCGAGCTGTTAAAATTCAAACAAAGGCGGTCGAATAC